TTCCCTCTACCCTCATAACTTAATCCATCCGTCACGTCAGTCTTATCACCCCTTAACCCTATGGTTAATTTGAACTTGTCACTCAATTCATTAGGATTTATAGAAGATTCACTTGATTTTACATTGTCATGGGGTACTGATAACAATGGATGCATAGACGATATACTGGAGGCCTTCTCTTTCAGTCCATTTAGCATCTCAAAACTATCACTATCATTGCACGCAGAGAGCTGGTGTGATTCATTACATAACTTCGAGATATCATCTTTATTCTTGTTCCTAAAAGCTTCAGTTGATTTAACATTGACAATAGATCGTACACCAGGAGCAGCCACCAATGTTCTATCCATGGTCACAATGTTATTAGATGCAGCACTCTCTTGTTTTGCAGCCTTCAAGAGTTCTTCCAGCTCTAGCAATTGCGTCAGATCTGCAGATCGATGCAAGGCATGCTCATAGCCTTGCTCCCAAACTAAAATGGCATCCTCATTTCTTGACAAAGCCGCCAGTGCACGGCCTAAGCAACAAAATCACGGTACTAAGTTCCAAAGATGAATGAACCTCAAGCATGAGATAACATTCAAACCATTATTTCAAAAAAAAAAAATCAGACCAATCCCAAAGAAATTTGTTTGTGATAAACTAAGACGTATCCAAAAGAAAAGCATACATCGACAGACTAACCAACATGTAATTCACAGGATAACAACATGGACTATCCAATCCAACAAAGCCATGACATTGTAAACCAGTTTTTTACCTTGTAATTGAAATCAAAAAGGAAAAAAAATGCTTAGTCTATGTCTTGAAGGAATGAACTTCATTTGTAGAATTTATTCGGAGAACATACTTACTTTAACTATGTGAGGATGCAAAACCTTTACAAAATAATAAAAATATGACATCCTAAAATATTTCAAATGGAACTGAGACAATATATTTCAAATTCCACCAAACTTTTCCAGAACTTCAATTTTTATTATTTTTCACGGGCTATGCATCCTCTATAAATGTAGTTTTTTTTCAAATGAATTCCAAGATAGAGTTTATAACAGTTTTCATCTATCTTTCATTGTATACTTATCAGAAAATACCACAACATCATAATACTAATCACCATTTTTTACACCACTGCATGACAACCGAAAATAACAATAATGCACAAGTAGATGCTTAGCTCTTATTCCACAATGCAATTACAAATACAATTTGCATAAATCACAAGTTCATACAACACCAACAGATGACTATTGAAACTAAATCCAATAAATAGAACTTATACACTTTCCATTTCATTATGAGGAATAACCCTAATCATCAAATTTTAACCCTGATAGAGGAACGGATATTTCAGTTTAGGGATATAAGCTCCTGGATCAAATTAACCTGTGTACATTGTTTAGCTAAGGAGAAAACAAACCTTTGAGGATATAAGCTTGAAGAACCATAGGGTCAAGTTGGAGTGCCTTGTCACAGTCCTTTATCACATGTTTGTGGAGCTCCAATTGGCTGTAACAAAAGGCTCTATTGCTGAAAACAAGAGAGAACCAAATTCGTGCATTAATCAATAGAATTTTCAACGGAGAAATCAAGGAAAGGTCATTTAAGAGTAGAAGTACAATCAGCCATTACCATAGGTCTTGTATCGCGCATGACTGGGCGAGGAGCGAGTCAAGGACTCGGATTGCCTTTGACCAGTCTCGGGAGCTGCAGAATTTGGCGAGCTCGACTCGCTTCGAGATAGCTGACACCATTACTGAGCCACACGAGCGAGCTCGCAGATTGATTGAAACGGATCATGTGAAACACCGTATACAGTTCTCTCTCCCTCTCCGTCTTATTCCTTCATTTCCAGCTTTTGGCGCTCCTGGGGAAACGAGGAAGAATGAGAAGGGCAAATTGGTAATTTGATAGAAACGATGAGTAGAAGAAAGTACAGGCGAATTCGGAATGAAGAAGGAGACCAGCGAGTCAGATACGCTGAAGAAATCAAGTGGGGTATATGAACAGTACGCGTCGACTGCATATGACAACGTGTCATAAAATGATTGGCTGGAATCTTTTCTTGCAACTGCTCTGGGCTTGACACGAAAAACGCCCATCACTCGCTTCCATAGCTCTTCTAGGATTTTTGGTAATGGATTTCTTTGTCACGATTTAATGGGCTTAGTTGCCAAACACATTTTATGATAAAGGTACCGGAACATGAAAATAAATTGATTAATGTATGATTTGGTCTTATTATAGTTTTAATTTTTGTAAATTTTTCTATAATTTTACATTAAGTTTTTATTGTTTTGTACAAAAATATTTAGATCTAACAACATGTAGAAATTTTAAAAGTTAAATAAATTTAAATTTTAAAACCACAAGATAATAATAATTTAAAAGTTTCTCTATTGGCTAAAAAATTAGTACAAAGTGACTTTGATTGAGTTATTAATAAAAAATATAAAATCAATATGTTTTACAAATTTATTTTTCTTCCTATCGCACGAAAAGATGAGTCTTATATGAAACTTACTTCTACCGGGGGTGGAATATCATAATTTGTTCTAAATTCGAAAATTAAAACTTTTATAAAATAATAAAATATTACGACTAAAATTATGGAGAACCCAATCAAATAATTAAATCTATAGTTGATATATAATATAAACATACACACCCACATATATATATATATATATATATATATACACACGTTAAAACCCCTTATTGCTTTTTTCAGAATTTATTTATTTCGTACATCTAATCATTATTTTATCAACATAACATTAACTAATGTCTGAAAACAAGAATGTTCTTCAACTTTTACAAACACAATCTGTAACGGCCCCGGAAATATTAAAATGAAATGAGTATTTAAATATATCAAATGCGGAAGCGATATCAAAATTTCAGTTAACATCCCTTACACGAAAACCAAAAACGTACTTAAAATATAAAATGTTAAACTAACTAAAAGAGAAACTCGAAAACAAAGCTATGAGTATGACTACAGAGTCTCTAGGCATCCCTTTCGTCGTCCTCCTGCGGAACGGGCTCGAGAACCATGTCTTCCTGATCTGAAATGGTTAAATAAGGAGTGAGCTACACTAGCACAGTAAGAACATCACGATATCTCACCGTCACGGAGGTAAAGGTGGGTAGAAAACACAAAGGACCCATGGAGCATGTTTTACAACAAATCCTTTTATTTATGATAAAACATTTACCATCCACTTACCTCGGTGGAATTTATGAAAACAATATAAGAAAAACAATAACATTATCATAATCATGGAATAATATAAGCTGTAAAACATAACACTTATCACGCCTCTTGTAATTCAATCATTATACAACATATTTTTTTCTCATTTACCAGCCTACTAGTATCCATGGGGGTCCATAGGGGTCCCGCTACCCGTTAACCTTTAACATTCATAATCAGTTTCCAGGGCCGTCCCCATACCACGTCCGGTATGGGCGCCAAAACCATAAACCTCAATACCCTGTCCGGTATGAGGGTGAAACGGGTCGTCCCCATACCCCGTCCGGTATGGGCGCCAAAACCATAAGATCTCCATACCCCGTCCGGCATGTGAGACCACAATCCCGGTAGGGTTCCCTATGGACCCGGTCCGTCCACCATCTCTCAGGATATCTAGTCAGGCTGACCCTCATAATACAATTATCAGTCTACACAATCTTTCATTTTCCTTTTCCTCAGTCAGCATCATCAATTCACATTTAAACAAGCAAATCGTAATTCATGCCAAACAGACAACATACAGTATCAGTCTTTCAGTCATTCAACCCATAATTAATAAAAACGTAGTATATACACACAAATCTGTAAAATGAACACATCAAACCTCATTTTGCATTTAAAGCTGTAAACAGGCCAAATAACAGTAAATCACCAATCACACTAGACTCGGGCTCCATTAGCCACCTTAAGCAATTTCACACATTCGTTAATTCAAGAAATACCGTTTTATCATTTTGAACTTTAATACCGTGATAGGAAATAAGGTGAGGGGTCCTTACTCGTTTCGGGGTCCGAACACGGCTTCACAGTGCGCCTACAGGCTGTCCCTAATTTTCCCTGAATTTTTCCCGGGGAACTGAAATGCACTACTGGTACCTGCACGGGTTCCAAAAAAATTCCAAATTAGGCCCAGGGCCTCTTTCGGCCCAAATCGCAACTCCGGCACGGCGGCTCCGCCGTGCTCCGGCGACGGCGCCGCCGCTGGCGGCGGCGATTCGCCTCGGGTTGACTGTTTTCGGCCGCTTTTGGCCGAATTCGGCCACACTCGCATCGGTCCCTGCGAGAAAACAACCCTAGGGCTCTCGGGGGGCCAAAAAATCACGGAAAAACGGAGCTTACCGGCGGCGGCGCTCTCGGGTGCGGCGGCTCTCCGGCGAGGTTCGTGTTTTGGTGATTTGGCTTCGGTCAACCTGTAGAGAAAAGAATGGTGATCACGGTGATATAAAAATTGCATCGAACGGAGGCCGGGAAGGGCCTCGTCGGAGGCAAAAACCGAGAGGGGGCGCGGCGGTGCCGCTGGGCTTCGGCCGCGTATTCCGGCCGTTTGGCCGGGATTTCGGCTTCGATTTGGCCATAGGAGGAATCAGTGGGGAAAAACGAGTCGGGGGTATGAAATTTACCTCGATCGGCGGTCGGAAATTTCCCCGGTGCGGCGGCGAGTGGCGGCGGGTGGCGGCGGTCGGCCTCTGGTTCGTCTTCTCCGGCGAGCGGCTGGCGGCTAGGGTTTGTGGTCTGGTGTGGAGGTTCTATTTATAACCCCTTGCCTTTTGATCTCAGCCGTCATTTTGTTTTAATCTGGGCCGTTCGTTTTTGATTGAATCTGGACCGTCCGTGCGATTGCATCTGGGCATTCCGATCGCGCGATTGATCTGGGCCGTTCGATCGCGCCCACGCGGATCGCCAACGTGGCCCATTCCGGAGTGATGTGGTCTTGCCACGTGGCAGGCCCCGGTTGGCCGGGATTGCTGACCGGGCCTGCTGACGTGGCTGCCGACGTGGCCTTTTTTTTTTTTGGCCCCTTTTCTCCGGGCGCTACACAATCACTTTTCCTCGTATAGTATAGTTTATATTATACTTTCTTGACAAGTACTTGGTTTAATATTGATGCAGTATAAATTGTAACACCCAACATTTATTTATTTATTTATTTATAAATATAATTATTTATTAATTGAATTTAATTTATTTTATTTTATTTTGATTTAATAAAAATAATAACAATAATAATTGTGAAAAATTAGTTAAGGATTTAATTGAAAGTAATTTTAGAAAAAAAATGGTGAAAATTTGGGTTCTGGGTTATTTTTGAAAAAAAAATCGGAAACAAAATGTCAAAACGCAATTTAAAAAAATTGTACCACGTCAGATGTCCGGTCAGCAGTCCCGACCAATCAGGACGCGCCAGGTGGTAGAGGCGCTGATGCGGGAGGCCACGCAGGGGGAACCACGTGGGTGATCCGCGTGCGCACGATCGAACGATTGAGATCCAGTCTTGCGCGCACGGACGGCCCAGATTCAAAACGCGCATGGACAGTCCATATTGGATCGTGCACGAACGACAAAGATTAGACCACGCACAAACAGTTCAGATTGAATCGCGATGAACGGTCCAGATTCATTTCCTATTTAATCGCAATCAGACGATCCATATTAAAAGCAATGGACGGCCCAGATCAAAAGTGGATGAGTATAAATAACCCTATCCGCACCCAAATCCTAACCCTAGTAGCCAGAGCCCCTCGCGGGAGAAGATAACCCAACTGTCGGGGAGTCGACCGCTGCCACCTACCGTCGCACCGGAGTAATTTTTTACCACCAAATGAGGTAAAAATTTCTCCTCTTGAACAAAATTCAATTTTAAACCCACTTATGGCCAAATCGGAGTAAAAGAACTGGCCAATTGGCTGAAAAATGCCGCCGAAGCTCAGCACCGCCGCCGCGGGGTGTTTCAGAAAACGCCTCTGATGAGGCCCTTCCCGATTCCCGTTCGATGTAATTTTTCTACCATTGTGATCACAGTTTCCTTCTCTACAGGTTGACCGAAGCAAAACACCCAACCGCAATGTGAGCCAGGGGAGCCGCCGCACCAGAGAGCCCCACCGCCAGTGAGTTTCGAATTTTTACGTTTTTTCTGCCAACTGAGGTCCCTAAATGTGTTTTCTCACAGGAACCGATACAAATTTGGCTGAATTCGACCGAAAACAGCCAACCCGAGGTCGGTCACCACCGCGGGCGGTGGCGCCGTCACCGAAGCACGACGGAGCCGCTGTGCCGGATTTTTTAAATTGGCCGAATAGGCCCTGGACTAATTTTGGGGTTTATTTGGGACATTTATAGGTACCGTAAACGCGTTCTAGTTCCCGAAGAAAGATTTAGAAAACTCAGGGACCGCCTTTAGGCGTAGTAACCATTTAGTTTTCGGCGTCAAATCAAGTAAGGACCTCTCACCCTATTTTCTATCATAGATGTGAAGTTTGAATAAATAATAATACGGTCTTTTATACAAATAAGATAAATATGCATAATTAATTACAGATTGCTAATGGAGCCTGAAATCGGATATTGTTCTCTGTTGATTCTTGTTGATTTATTTTACAGTTTAAAGGCATGATGATATCTAGTTTTAGAGTTTTAAATGTATGTATTACTATTTTACTTGACCACTGTGTGATTTTGGGATTTAAGATATGATTGTATTACCGGGTGCATGTTCATTGTTTATATGATTATGTTTAATTTGATAACGGAGATTAAGGATAAACATGAAAGGGATGTGATCTAATAAACATATAAGGTGACAGTATCACTAGATATCCTAGGAGATGGTGGACATATCGGATTCATAGAGAACCCTACCGTGAACGTTGTTTCATACCGGACGGGGTATGGAGACTTAATTATTTGGCGCTCATACCGGATAGGGTATGGGGACGACCCGCTTCACCCTCATACCGGACAGGGTATGGGGGCGGCCCTGGAATTAAGATTGTTGAGGAAAATAGTTCACGTTTAGTGGGGACACTCCTATGAATCCCCATGGATACTAGTAGGCTGATGAAACAAGAAACGGTGATGATTAGTTATTGTTAATGAATATGAATTTATGATATGTTTTATATTACTGATTGTGTATGAAGTTATTATCTGTATGATGTTATTGTCTTTATAGGTTGTTTTTACAGGTTCTCCAATTGTAAGTAAAATGAAAATTTGTTTTATTTTTAATAAATGTATTGGTTTAAAATTTGTACTCTATTGGTTGTTTTTTGTTTTCTACCAATCTTTACTTTTGTTGTGGTGATATAGTGTGATGTCCTTACTGGGCTAGTGTAGCTCACCATTTTTTTAACCATTTTAGATCAGGAGGATCCGGTTCCCGAGCTCGATACTTTATAGTTTCATTTATTTTTTTCAATTTCTCGTATCTCTTTTAGAGAATTTGTTCCGTGATGTTTGTTAGTACTTTTGAATTATCGTGTAAGAAATATTAACCTTAATATTTATCTCGCTTCTGCACTCAAATTATTATATGTATTTTTCTTTAAATTTTCGAGACCGTTACATAAATAAACACTAACGAGTTGAATACCAGACATAATCATAAATATTAGATATATCTACCATAAGAGTATATAAATTTTTAAAATTAAAGTTACTTTTACTTGAGAAAATTGATTTTTTAAATGTTTAATTTAAATATATTTATATTTATTTTAATTGAATACTCTTTATTTTGTAATTTAATTTATTTAATGTAGTTACAAATTAAATATTTTAATGTATTTGATTTATTTTGTCAATAATGTATTATTTATATTAAATAAATTATTAATTTAAATAATTTGTTAAGATTTAATAATAATTATTATGTGGGTATATATAAAATAAAAAAATAGTAATAAATTCAGTACGATTACTAAAAATTTTATTAGTATACAAGTACATATTGGCTGAATCTTAAAATTAATGTAAGTTAATATTTAACAGTATTAATGATTTAATTTGTCAATGTGTTAATAAAATTATAATAATTAAATTGTGTATCTTACGAAAAAAGAATAAATAAGTAATGGAGAGCGGACCGGACAGGTGTTAGGAACCAGGGTCTTTGCCTGCCACGTGACATGGTGTGGGCAATTGTGCACGCAAGATGCTTCCCTGCAACGCAATAAAACTTCTCTCACCCCGTGAACAAAAATAAAAATTCATTACCTTTCAATATTTAAAAAGTGCACTGTACACAATTATCTTTTAAACTAAAGT